CCACATCTTGAATACGGATCAACAGCATGGAGTTCGGCATCAAAAACCACATTGCAAGAATTAGACAAAGTGCAAAATCAAGCACTCAGAGTTACCACAGGCAGTATGAAATCAACACCTATAGCTGTGATGGAGAAAATGGGGATGACCCAAGCACTGAGTGAACGCAGAGACACCAAGATGCTTTTACAAGCAGAAAAGTTTCTTAGTATGCCCAGTCACCCTATGAATGAAAGATTCCAAAATTTAGCTTTGGGACGACTAAAGAGAAGTAGTTTTATCCACCAGGCCAAACGGCTCGGCAGACAAACCACTGATTTACCTGCAACTGATAGATCCTTAAATGCTGTCCCAGAACGGACCCCCTGGAGAGAGGAGTATAAGTTTCCAATACACATCAAGACTGAAGTGAAAGGGGTATTTGACAAGGAAGAACAAAACAGTGTGCAGCGCAAAACAGCCACCCTCAGTCTACTTGATGATGAATACCCGCAGAACCTTTGGGTCCGTGTTTACACAGATGGGTCAGCAGAAAGCGCAGTCAGAAACGGAGGTGCGGGAGTGTACATTGAGTATCCTAATAAAACCAGGGATACAGCCAAATTACCAACGGGAAAGCACTGCCACAACTATGATGCAGAAGTTCAAGCCATCAAGATAGCGGCAGAGAAACTACTAAACACAGGGTATTTTTCACAACCAGTGGTATTCCTGACAGATGCAAAAGCAGTACTTCAGTCACTCCAGTCTGGAAAATTACCAAGCATACGGACACTATTATCCGAACTAGGCAACCGCTGTAAATTAGTAATGCAGTGGATACCTTCCCACTGTGGAGTTCCCGGAAACGAAAAAGCTGATAAACTAGCTAAGGAAGGTGCAACTGAAGAACAACCTAACATACCAGTCACTTATCAACAGAAGAAGAGAATGATCAAATCAATCAGAATGCCACCGAAACTGGCACAAGATGATTACCATATTATGGACAGACCATGCAAGTCATTATCCTTCGCCTTAGAACAGGGCACAATCGACTTCGCTCCCACATGTACAACAAATTTAAGATTGGCCAATCAGCCATGTGTACTTGTGGACTGGCACCTGAAACAACAGATCACATCCTTCAAGACTGTCCCAGATTCAATGCTTTCAGGCAAAACCTTTGGCCAAAAGAGACACTTGTGGAAGTCAAACTTTACGGGCCGCTTAGTGAATTACAAAAGACAGTGAAATTCATACTAGAGACAGCTTTGCAGATATAGACAATTTATTTCATGCGAACGAAAGAAGAAGAAGAAGAATTTCATGCAGCCTGGCTCGCTAGCACCGTTGGCTAAACCGGACTGCGCGGCAACCGGATGATGAACTCCTTGTGGTCCGGATTCATACCCGGAGGTAGACCGAAAAGCCACATTCCTCCCAGATTTACGGTATCTATCATGGAATCAACGCCGAAGGGTTGTGATATTCATATTACCGAGCTGAAGGGGTTAACATCTCATGGTTCCTGGATACTTTGAAAAAAAAAATATTTAATGTGTTAACTATTTTAGGTAATCCGAAATGTGGTGAAAACAGCTGTGACTGTAAACAAGCTGATACCAAGAAATTACTCAATGAACTATGAAAAAAGGCTTGGCTCAAAATTCACCACAAGGCTGAAGTAATCATTTCCAATTAGTTTCTTTCATTTATTTTCAAATAAAATCTCAAGTAAATGAAAATACATAACAAAAATAGACTGTCCACCTTTTTTTGGGATGTAAAGTTTGTGATTGTTTCACAGAAGGCAAAGAGATTAATACCTCTATGGTTTGGTGTAAACTTCGGCAGAAAGTGTTGGCTGTTCAACCTTTTCTGGACTTTGGCCCAGAACTTGACTGTTGTGTGTACATCAGTTTTACAGATTTTGCTTATCTGTATGCAGACTGTTGGTTCCTGGCCTCTCCGACCGATGCACTCCGACTTCGAAAGAAACATCCCTAATTAGTAGCATCATACGACATGCCTGATAGGGAGGCAGTGGGTCATTCCTTATTTTCCCCATAATGCCTATATGCTAAGTTACTGCATGAGGTGTGGTGACCAATTCTTTTCCTCACTGACTTCTATTAAAACGTATCTTGCACCCACTGTAAAAGGTTGGGTAATCTGTAAAAACTGTGTGAGTTAGTTGCATTATATGAGTTGGATTATCTTCGCAGCACTCCGGACAGGTCCATGGGTGCTCAAACCCCCCCTCTCCCAACACATTCATCAGCGTCGCCAGTGCAAGTGCTTTTCAGGTTGACAAGGCTCCGGGTGCGTCCGGTGTGCTTCTCATGCTTGGCTGTGCCGATCTTTACTCCAGTACTTAATGCCTGTATTTACACTTTTCTTTAAAGGGTGTGGGGGTGGTCACGAGCCTCAGGACTTCACTCTTTTGGTCCCAAGTAATGCAAGGTATGTAATGAGCCATTGTCCGTGTGTATCGCCGCAACACAGTGTGCATTGTTACATCTTTCATGTTTGGTCTGTGTGCACTATAGAAATCTGGCCAAATATTTTACTAAGCACCCTAGTATATGTTGTGTCTCTGAATGCGGCACAGATACATTCTCTCTATGACTATTGTGCCAGATTGGGTTTCAGATGTGGTAGGGCGAGAACAACAACAACAAAAAAACAAATATATATATATATCTACCCCTCACAGAGAATCAAAAAGGGTTTCCTGCATGAAAGCACAGCAGCATTCTAACCACTTGTCCGGCCAGTTGTAATAATAACAATGTAAAAACAAAAACATTTAGGTTTGAACCCAAACATAACTCTTTTGACAGCCAAGCCCAAAAACTGTCCTGACAGCCACGCACAAAAACTAGGCAACTAGGCATCCTAGCAGTGATAACAACAACAAAAAAGCATTCAAATGATGAAATAAAGACAGCAACGTAACTTACTGAAGGTCTCGGCCTGGAACTGAGTGAATAACCTGAGCTTCGTTTTCCAGTTCGATACTGTACATATAGGGCAGCAACTGGGCAAGGAAACAAAAAGATGCTAGTTACAGCACAAATCTTCCCGTAAGTGGGCAATTCTCAAATCCACATGTGTGCTCATGGCCTGCGGATCCGAAGGTCTGGATGGAACCAAACGTTTTACAAGAACGACCTTGGTTGCCAGGTCAACCCAGCCTGAGCACCAGGTATAGTCCTGGGAAGCAAAGGCTACCGGCATGATGCTGACCACACCATACACTGAGTGCTGACTGCTCTATAATATATAGGTCTAGCCATATATGCCTAATAAGCCTTAAGGTGTGAAAAGGGGTTCTTTACTTTACTGCAGTAATGTAGAGACCAGGTGTAGCATAATCCCTCTCTCAGCCAGCCTTGTTTACTTCAAAGGAAGGGTAACACCAATTCATGAAATCTATTAATTAATTCATAAATCATTCCTAGATAAGCTGATTTCATAATAAATAAAGGCTGCCTTCACTTGCAAGACACACCTGTCTAGTATTCTATATTCAACAAACTTGAAAATTGTTGTTTTATCTGCTATCAAAATATAGACAGATTTAATCTTTCTTCCCTGTGTGGGATCCGGGGCCCTATTATAGGGAAAAACAAGAATAGAACCCATTGCCTACCCAAAAGCATTTTGTAAGAGTCAACTAATGGGTAGCTTCTTTCAAAGTCGGAGTGCATCTGCCTGATAGGCAATGAACCAGCAGTCTGCATACAAATGAGTCAAATCTGTAAAACAGATGCGCATGCACCACTCAGTTTCTGGAACAGGACTGTTGTCTAGAAGTAGATAAACAATCAGAACTTTGCGCCAGAGTTTACAGCTGGTGAACATTAAGAAGAAGAAGATAATCTACTTCTCCTTCTCCGGTTGTCTATTCAAAGTGTTGAAGAATATTCTGTTTGCTATGTCTAATGTGTCGTATAAGTTAACCTTCATTTCCTTAACCCACTTGCGCTGAAATACTAGAAACAACAGGTCATGACCCCGTTAGAATTCCAGAAAAAAAATCAGTAAAAGCAATCATTTTTACACAGGTCACTTAGTCAAAACATGTAATTACATTGGTATCTTGACCTGCAAATGTAATTCAGAAGACAAAAGGAAAATAATCACAACAGAAAAAAAATGTTTACGTACTATGCTAGGTGTAATGAGGAAAGATTGCCTTAGGAACGATGATATCAGGATTTGGTGGGCACAGAACCAATACTGAACTTTATAGGTAAATCAAACAGTTTGGCCCCGTAACAAGATTGGCATTAGACAGGGCCCTACAGAGGGCAATCCTATACAGATACAATGGTAACAAATCCAGTGGTCGACCACGCAGAAAATAGACCACAGAAATATAAGAGATGCTGAAAAGTACTATACACAAAGCATTCCAGGAGTGGAGAAAAGAGGAAAAGGAATCAATCAACACAAAGGTGAAGCATTAAATGAAACCCCCAAGGGCCTAAAACAGCAAACATTCATTGGGTTGACAGGTTGTGACCATCTAACCTCTATCACTGAATGTCACTTTTGCTTCAAAAGATGCAGATGCAGCTTATTTTCAGGAAATATTTCAATTTATATATGTAAATTTTTTTCTTACAACAAATATTTAACTACAATTTATATTATCATTTGTTTATAACATTAATGTTAATAACATGAGTTTCATCATTTATATATTCAATCATTACTTTATAATTCAATATGCCTGTCATGTGTTTAAACCCAACAACAAATACTGTCTTTACAGCAGATGACCTTAACTAGGGTTTCTATTACAGGCATCAGGAAAAATCATTCTCATTTTCAAGTTAGGTATTTTTTTCAAGGACACACAGTAGATACAATAAACACCCATACGCCAGCATAGTCTACGACACTTGTCATGTACATAAATCTTTATATGAGCGACCTATGCTCTATTAAGTAATAAAGAGCAGAAGAAAGAAAGAAAGAGATTTTCTCTTTGGTTAGAGACCAGCAAGATGGGTTTTGCAACAACGTGGTACTCTCATCCTCACAGATTTAGACCTGGATGCCGGTGCAGTCATGCCGAGTCTGCAATAACTCCCGTGGTCTTATTAGGAAATATGGCCTCAATATCTGCAGACATTGTTTCAGGCAGTATTCAGATGACACTGGATTCAAAAAGCTCAGCTTATGATGTGTGTTGTGAAAGTGTGTTTTGCAATTTGATTAGCAATTTCAATAAATAGGTGTGTTAAATTTGTAAAAAAAAAAAAAAAAGAGAGATTAAAACCATCACCTTTTCCTTATACATCTACCGATAGCATACTTACTTTTGGCGGCACCCATTTCTTTGACTTTTCCTTTTCGTCAGCGCTATTTTCTTTGTCACTAGACGGCGAGTTACAGGTTGATGAGGTCTTGATGTCTGTGCTAGTTAAATCAATAGCCACTACCTTTGCAGGTATCCTATACAAATATTCAATGTCGTTATTTACGTGTCATTATATAAATACATTATCGTCATTATATAAATATAATTTCATCATCATATAAATAATTTAAATTACGCTGAAAAACCCTGACTGACTGCATCTATTTTCTCTACTCAGTTTGGTAGTCTGGTAGTCTTAGTTTCAGCTTCATAGCAAACGGGTCACCCCATCTTTGCTCCGCTCCTGTGCCAACGAAAAACACACAGCATGTTTATCACAGTATTAGAATTGCAGTTCATCATTGATGGTAGCAGAAGTCGCCAACAGATCAGCAGTTGCCCACGCGATCAATTTTAATCACATACGGACACCACAACACTGCACGACAGGCATCGCGCCATTTTCTGAATCTACAGTTCACACCAAAACGTTGGTCACAGTCGAAAAAACTCAGTTTACGGATGTCATATGTCTTGAGGTTTTTTAAATAATTCCATGATATTGTTTTTCAATATCCCCCTAGACAAAAGAACTCTCGAATGTTACAAACGAAAACTAAACTGCGTTGCACTAATGGTGTGCCTGCTAAGATCAACACTGCTGGTCCCAAGCCCGGATGACAAAAGGAGGGCTGGCCCTGGTGCTATTACCCCCCCATCAAACTACATTGTGAACAATTATTTGCTATAGTTAGTTAGCTGAGATTTCAACAACACCGCAATCGGGTTTCCCCATACTTGCTCCATTCCTGTACCAGTGCGAATCAAATGAAATTTCCCTCGTTGTTGCATATGAAAAACTGGTGAATAAACAACTAGTCCCAGAACAATCCAGAAAACATGTGCCCGCAGTAAACGTGTATTTCAGTTGCCTGAGGCGCCAAAGCCAACAATCGCCACCAGAAATGCAGTTTTTGTTGATGGAAGTACGGACACAAAAGATTTGTCACTATACACACGTAGAATTCTTACATAAGATATTTCACCAGCTCACGCGTAAACCGGCCATTTTGAACAAAACAACACAACAGCTGCACAAATGAAAGGCACTCCATAGGAAAAATACAGCTCACAGTGCTGCAACCAAGCACCAAACTCAGTAGCTCAGGCAGCAAAACTGTAGACTACCGTCCTTGTGTAAAAACTGCATTAGCAAAGCGTTGTCAAAAGCAAAAATAACTTCCAAGCTTAACATTCTGCCAAGCCTTTCCTCAATTTTAGCAAGTCTTTTTTGCTACAGAAACTCGCAGGTGCCATCCCTATACACAGATGAGCCAAGTGGTGTGTGGTGCACACAGTACAGTTATAACTTTTAAGACAAAGAAGATGGCGCTATACTATTCTTAGTTGAACAATCACCAAATAGCAGGATTCATAGCCAAATTTACCAATCAATTTAAAGGCTTTTCAAGGTATCCTTAGTTTTTTTTTCAAGGTTGTCTTGGAGTAATACTGAAACAAGGTATTTTTGCCTTGTTCAAGGGTGTAACGAGCGAGCATACAAGGTACTTCATTCGTGCACAAACATGTGGGTAAACCAGCACAGATATAGTGTTTTTACATTTTTTTTAAGACGGTGACAGAGGGGAGCAAACTGAAGTCCTGTCTGTTCTGGACCTGGTACTTGGGGAGGGGGGGGGGGGGGGGGGAGGAGAGGGAGGGAGGGAGAGAGAGAGAGAGTCATACAGAGAGGGAGGAATACAGATGCTGAGGTTGACTGGGAGAGAATGTGTGAAGATGGACAAATGAAGGTAGAGGAAAGAAGGGAAAGAGAGTCAAAGATAAGTTTATAGGCTCTGAAATGGAAAATAACACGACTGAGGAAACAGGATGTCCCAGACAAATCCTAAGACGAACGGTGATGAGAGAAGCCAAAGGTGCTGCACAGGATTGCATCCATGATACAGAAGTAATTGCCAAGGATAAAGTGCAATGGAAAATCAGTTTATTGGTTTATTCAACAGATCAACACCATGGCACACAGGTGTAACCTAGGTACTTTAGTCAAATGTTTAAAATGCCCTCTACACCAATAAAACCAGCACAGTTAGATAGCTGTAAACAATCTCTTTCCAACGGTACCTCATTTAGGCTTGTATGTCATTTCTGAGCTGAGATATGTAGGTTTTTGTGGAGATGAGATGTAGAAAGCAGCTGCTAAAACTTGTCTCCCAGAAACAAGAAGTTTTCTTTGCGCAACCAAACTGCGCAACTTTCGTTTAGGCTTTGTTTGCATTGGACAAGATGGCAGACAATGAGACTGGCTAAGCCAGCGATTGCCTGAAAAATGTCACTGTACATCTACCTAGCCACGTACCAGAAAGAAATTTTATACACAAATGTAAAATTGGACGGAGAATTCAATTATAACTAGCATTACCAGGGCCAGTAACAGTTAAAGCCTGAAACCAACCCTGAATACTTACCGCTATTTTCAATGAAACTGATGTAACAGAAAAACAGAGGACGTCCGGCTGCCGTAGACATGCGCTGTTAATCGGGTTCCTTCCCGCCGTTTTCAGCTTTTTATAGTGGGTGAAAATCACACCAATCGCGAAATTTCATGAGAGATTAGGACCCATACCGAAACCCCAGCCGACATTTTCCAAACAAGTTTCAAACGGTTCCCATGGTAACGGAAATTGCCAAAAAGACCGCAAATTGTCGAAACTGTAGTCGCTAGTGTAACCCATAAGTGCTCCGTTCTACTTCTAACTCAAGCCTGAGTTTAAAGCAGCTCAATACAGTGCATGAACTACATTGCACCAGCGAGGATCCTGAAATACTTTGGGTAGATTTTTAACTCCAAATTTTGCCCGGGCAGCGCCGTTAAGCTACTCTTTTCGACTTCCAACTGCCAGGTGAATTTTTTTTTTATATGCGCAACAATACACTACCCAGAGACCAGGGGAAATTGCTGAAGTCCACATGAAAAAATCCCAGCCTACACCGGGGCTTAAACCCAGGACTCCAGCACTTGAGGCGGACGCCATGCCTCAAGACAACGCAGCTCCCTAGTGCAATGGAAAAATAAAACTATGAACCCTATGTGACATAAAATGGCACATCCAGACAACGAATGACATAAACACATAATACTTACAATCTGTCTGCAACTTTGACCTTCAGATTAACCTTCTCCCCAATGATTAACTGTTGATGCAGCTTCAGCCAGGTTTTATCAATAAGAACATCTAAACTCTCCGTGCCTGGAAACAAAAAGACATATCTACCGTACTCTTCACCTTTTGCATTTACCCTTAAATGGCCAGTTGGCATGTTGGATTGTCAGCAATATCTGCACCTTTTGCCCATACACAATTGCTTTTAGCAGAAACTTATTTATAATCGCCTTCTACGACATGCTTGTCAATGGACAGTGCCACTTGGAACACATCCTTTTTCTTCTACAATATTAAGCTCTGGAACTCACATGAGGATAATTACTATGTTCTAAATTGGCAACAAATACCCATGTATCCTACAGACTGACATTCCAAAATCTAGTAAAACTCAGGCAAAACTGAACTTTAAAATTTGTGTTTTGAACCCTGGATCCAGTAAGTTTTACTGAAGATAGTATGTCTTCAGGTGATTGGACACTGAAGGAAGACTAATGTCAATTATGTAACAATTATGAGATAATTAGCCAACAGTGCAAGATTAACCACCAAATTCTGAAAACAAATTTAAAAAATTGTGGTCTATAATTTCAGAAGGTAACGTGGAGATGAAAATTGCTTTCTAGTTGTATTAAAATGTATGCTTAGTCTCTTGGCATTGTCTAAATCCTCTGCAGCTGCAGAAAGAGTTTTCTCTCTGCTTATTAGATTAAAAAATTGCTCTTCTTGGAAGACTTCAACAACAACTGCATTAGTGAGATAAAAGGACATTAACTGCCCCAACTGGATGCTGCTACAGCAGCTTTGTAACAAACTGGGCGGGGGGAAAATAGGAAGAAATTCAATTCTGTTCAAATATAAAGAAAGACTCTGTCTCTGTTTATTTTTGTTTTTTGAAAAACTTTTCAACAGTTGCTGACGATGATAGCCACATAAGCTCTTCAGTTGGCAAAATAAATCAGGACTTTCTTTAAAAACAAATTAAAACTGAACTGATAAATTAGTTAAAGATCACAAAGATGTTATTGGACAAATGTGAAACTGTCAAACGGGTCAGGAAGCAACGCAGGCCCACAAAAATCCAACACAGAACAGGTGTCATCAGCTGCTACACATTGCAGGATTTACTGAGGAGGGGATCTGAGCCCTTACGAACTGAATGGTTCCATGTGCAATGAGGATAATCTGTCGACTAATTAACTATGCTAATTCTTCTTCTTTCGTTCGCCTGAAATAAGCTGTCTATATCAGCAGTTTTGTCTCTTGTATAAATTACTATGCTAATGATATTACAGATGCTGACAATGTTAAGTTCAGGACAAAATAAACAAACCAGACTTACTATGATGAACGTGCTCAAGAACATCCTTCTCAAAGCACTTGGGGAACTGGGAGGCAAGCTGCTCCATAACCATTTTCTCCGACTTACAAGCCTCCTCGTGGGTCAGGTTTGTGTGACCTGTGGCACGACATGTCCAGATATTCTGAGAGTACAGATCCTTTCTCTTCTTGTACTCACTGGCAGCAGGGTTAAGGAAAACCTTCCTGAACTTAAATATTTACTCCAATAAATAACTGCTGCCTGCGCAGAATAGAGGGAATTAAATGGTAGGACAATAACTAATGTAGAGCTTTGGGAGAGAACTAAGCAAGCTCCAGGGGACTTACAGGTGAGGAAAAGACGCTGGCGTTGGAGACGAACACACATTGAGAAAACCGGAGAACAATATATTAATATAACTAGAATGTCTGCATTGGAACCCACAGGGTCATAGGAATAAAGGAAGGCCAAAAAAAAAAAAACACATGGAGAAGAGAGCTGGAGAATGAAGTAAGAAAGATGGGGAGGACATAGGGAAAGTTTCATATAAAAACGAAGGATAGA